CTCAGTTTCATGCTCATTGCTTCAGTGATGCTATCTAACTATCTCATCCTCTGCCGTCCTCTTCTCCTTTTGCCTTCAAAATATAGACAAATATATATAGTTTCTATTTCTTTCCTCATTCCACATTCTTTGTGAAAAGTGAAATGATGTAAAAGGAATATTAATATGTTTGCTCCAATTTGCATCCAGGGATCTGAAATTTCTGTGCAAAGTTGGGAGTATCAGAAGTTGAAAAGGCTATCAATTTCTATATAGTATTCTAGCAGAGGTGCAAAATAGTTTTTACTCTGATGAAAGTACAGAGTAAGCCAACTTTGATTTCTACTTTATTTTGACTTTTTGCTGAAAGAGCAAAAACTGTTGATATATTATAAAGAAAATTGGCCCCAGATTTTAGACAGCCCTCCCATAAAAGAAAGATGAGACAGAGAAAACTACCCTCATTATCCATATTTTTAATGAAGGTAAGACACCTCTCCCATTTTGAAATTAAATTATTTGTTGGTGGGAAAACAGCCCTTTGAAGTAAATATGGTATTGTTCATTTGTTAACATCTATACAGGTAGTCCTCGATTTACAACCATTTGTTTAACAACCATTCAAAGTGATGATGGCACTGAAAAAAATGACTTAACGACTGATCCTCGCACTTGCGATCACCATTTGTGACCTTCCCAGGGGACTTCCAGCAAGCAAAATCAATGGAGGAAGCCAGATTCATTTAACAACTGTGGCACAAAGGTCATAAAATTGGGCATAACTAACTTAACAAACGTGTTGCTTAGGAACGGAAGTTCCTGTCCCAATTGTGGTCGTAAGTTGAGGACTACCTGTATCAGGGGTAGTCTTTCACAGAACCCCATCAAGTCCTGCAACCATAGGGTTCTGTGGACCATAGATTGGAAAACCTTGATCTGTACCATACAAGATGCTTCCATAGGATAGCTCCACTCCAACTGTAGTGTAAAAATGTATTCGTGCCCCCCAAAAGTGTGTGATTTGTCTTGAAGTCAGTGGCAAGGTGTGATTAAAAGTCTGATTT